TCTAAAAGCGTCGCAATAACATCTGGTGTGTTATCATTTAGTAAATTTAATAAAATTGGTATTAATTCTTCATCAGGCGGTATCGGTGATTTTTTCAAATCCTGGAGTCCTGGTTTTTCAGGAGTACTCTGTGCTTTTTTCCGTGCTATCGATTGTGCCAAATTAATGATACCATCAATCCGCATTGCACTATCTTCATGTTTTAATTGTTGTAATAGTGAATACTTTGCCTGGGGAACTTTTACAGGTGTACGAGATTTACCCGTAGAGATATTATTAGATTTAGAGGGAGCAGAAGGCATCCGCGGCTGAGAATAAGTAGAACTTGAACTTGCCGAAGCTCTTGCTATACTTGGTGCTGGTGATTTTGCTCTAAGATATGTGGTACTTGGTTGCCGCGTTATATATTTTTCTGTTTCAGGAGGATCAATGGATCGAGAATCGGAGGAACCACCAAGCAAATATCCTGATTTTTTGTTTCGAAGAGATGGTGGACCTCTGCTTCTGCTTCGTGAAGTTGAAGGTGTATGAGATCTTCGATTTTCAGTTATATTTTTTGGTTTATCTCGTTCCATTTGTTTTTTTACAGCTGGCTCAACGGAATTCAGTAATCTGAAAAATCACATACATTTATAATTTAAATAAAAAAAGAAATAAAAGATCTTTTTGCTTTATAATACACTTACGCTTCACCTAATTCTGGCCAAACCTCATAAAACTCCCAAAACACAGCACGACTTCCTTCTCGCACTTTAGGATTCGCATCGGTCAACCCCTTCTTTAAACAGTTCTGTAGCAACTGCGCGCCACCATTTCTTTGAATGGCATCTCTTCGCGCAGCATGCGAATTCACAACGATCTTTATAAACCCAATTATATACGCTCGCAATTGTACGCTTTTGTCCTGCATGGCACCCCACAGCTGATTCACAAGTCGCATGTGATATGATGCATTTGCTAATAGTGACTCAGCAGCATTCACGCTCGCTTGTGCGACTAGTTTTTTCACGACACCTGCTTGTTTTATTAGAGTGGCTAGTAGGTTGTCAGCGAATGGGTCTATCGCTGGGCCAAGGTATGCGGCGAGATCTTTTACCAGGACAGCAGTAGCTAATGTCAATGTTGTGCGTAGACTACACAGCTAGTCAATTTAGAGAAATGGTTATTTAAAAACATGATTGTCATAAATACCTAACACACGAATAAAAATCAATTTTACGGCATAGATATACACTTACTGAACTAATTATACCGTCCATTATCACTCTTACACCGACCATGAATTGATCAGGGAATTTAGAATACGCACCACCACGAAGCAGAGATCGTAATCTATTGATATGTTTTTCACGCTCCCCCCAGTTTTGTTCAGTCTCTTTTCCTTGAAAAGGATTAGTCATAATTTGAAATTCTCTTTCCAGCTCTCTTGCATTATCAATCTAATTGAATTTTTAACTCATATGATTACTATAAAATTTAAAAATTTACATAATTCCAAAAATAACAGGAATTAAACCATTGTTTAGAAAAATTAATTCTTACTTACATAGACCGGATCAATATCACTCTCTGCAACGCTTGGTGGTCGTAATAAATCATCACCACCATTATTATTATTATTATTATTATTATTATGATCCTCATCAGTTCCGCCGTCAGTCGCACTGTCATGTGAGACAGTGCTTCGATCATCAGGCACATCAGAGAAATTTACCTTGGAAAGTATAAAGTCGACTGTTGCGGCGCGAATCGATTTATTTCTCAATTCTCGTCTTAACTCAGATTTGGCTTGTTGTGGGGCAGAACTAAAAAAAAAAAGGGCCACGCTTTTATTATTTTGGTCTTGCTACTTTTTTAGCAGGTGAATTCAATAAAATAATCCTCTCGTACCTGAAAAGTGACACTATCGTTTCCTTACTAGCTTCTCTTACTTGTTCATTGGAATCTTCCAATAGTTTGATAATAGATTGTAACCATACACGTAACGAAAAATCTGGCATCATTTTTGTACATGCAACAATCCATTGTAAGATCTGTTTGAGAGATAATGGCAACGATAATACAAAATTCAAAAAAAGAATCTTCAAATAATTAACTAATAATATACTATTCCAAAAAATCTTTGACCTGCTCCCTCACTCGCCACGACTTATGACCAAATGCCGACTCTCTAATCATCTTTGTCAAAGTTGTCAGATTATTGCCCGAGCTCCACATATCAATTAAAACTTTTAGCGCTACTTCACGCGTTTTATCTTTGTTGTCGCCGAGCTTATCTATCACGATTGGTGTTAGTTGACTTGTGATTTTATTGAGATAGGTTTGATTTGTTTCAGCTACGTTGATTGTTAGTGGACCTAAGCATGTTAACGCTCTGTATGAAAGTGCTTGTTGTGAAGCTTTTAGTGCTTCTCGAAGAGCTGTTATTAGGTGAATGAGATCTTGCGGCTGAATATGTTGACATATTAAGGCGGAAATTTTTTGTTTGTTAGTTGTTAGCAATAAATTTGTGTGGAATTATGTCGTTTTGTATTTTGAGAAATCTGTATGAGACACCAATTTCTCTCATATTTAGCTAACCTCAATATAAGTGCCGTCTAAAAGCTCGTCTTCTAATATTGCTATAGCTTCAACTTTCTTGTCAAGGTCTTTGTAGGGCATGTAAGTCGAAAAAAGAAAGATGAATTAAGATCCACAAAAATTCACAAAACCAAAAGTCACAAAAATAGAACACCTACTGTTTCCTTTCAAAGCGGTTAACGCCTTTTCCACCGCACCCGACATTGCTCAAGCAATAAAAAGTTCAATAGTGCAGAAAAATTGTAATTTTCGAGAGAGGTATTGTTATCGACTTCTTGTCAGGTAGTAGTTTCAAGGTGTACCTTGACGCACAACAACAAAAGTGGGTGCAATCAAAACAACTATGAAATAAAACCTCCTGTTCTTGATATATCGTTTGAAAGTTTTATCAATCTGTATATATATTTATAAGTAAAAATTTCTTCGCACAAAAAAACCAAAACAAGCTTCAGGTCGCCAGACTAACTCCTTTTACTGTTTGCTGTTTTCACTAGCCAAATTCATTAGCCGTTGGACAAAATTCGGATGCATATATCTGTAAATGAAAGGCGTTATCTAATTGGGTATGGCGATAGTGAAATTCTAATTTGAGCAAAATTAGGGACAATGCGTACTCATGTGATTTCATTAGAAATAGTTAGTGTTGTGTGAGCTTTTCTCTTGCTTTAATATTTGTATTGAAAATTAATATCGAGAGAAAAAAAATAGGAGTACAAATACACATGAGCATATATTAACGTTAATAATTCTTACAATCATTGAAATTAAAATAAATATTACTTCAAGCATATCAAATATCAAAATGTAGTAATATTTTTTTTTTAAATGTTCACAAATCACATGTCTGGTGCAAATAAATATTAAAAAAAAATCCAAAAATTTGATTATAATTTTGGCTGTTCCCAATTAGTTATACTCATAAAGCGTATAATTTCAGTGTACATTTCTTTTTTCAATAAGCCATATATCGGGCCCGCCCCCGCTTTTACTGACCATTTTTTAGCCAATTCTTTGGCTTTCGGAATAACCTGGTCTCCCGGCGCGACAAGGTCGACGAATTCTCGATCAAGTGCCTCCTGCGCGTTGAATCGATGACCTTGCAGTATGGCGTCGCGAAAAGTCTTCGCGTTCGCTATTTTTACGCGTAATATTGCAGCCATGCCTGGGTGAAGTGGTGATGGGATATCTACCTCGTTCTGTTTTTTTTTATTTTTCGAGATGAATTGTAATAAAATACTATTCGGAAATGAAATTGTGATAGTAATGTAATAGTTAAATCATAATCACCATGCAAATGTAACCGCGATCCTTTCTCATTACTCGATAATCTAAAAAAAAATACAAGCGCAAAAAACATTATCAAATGACTTTTCCTCCACTTCATCATTCGTTCAGAAATGCGTATATAATACCATGCGCAAGAGCCATCATACATCCACCAGCAAACGCGTGACCATTAATAGCAGCAACAGTGGGAATCGGAAACGTCAACAACCGGATCAAAAACTTGAGATAATAATTTTCAAAAAAATTCGGGGTCGAAAGCGCGTGTTCTAAATCCAAACCATTACTATAAAATTTTCCTTCCCCGGTAGTCACAAGTGCCGCCGGCTCAGTACTATCACCGCGAATACGTTCAATTTCATCTAGTGCGGCGAATAGTGCTTCGATAAAAGTAACCGTAAACCTGTTCTCACCATCTTTCATTGTTATGATGAATAGCTCATCTTCTTGTTGTAATGTTATTAATGGCCTGTCAACATGTTTTGGAAATGAAATTATTTTTGCGGAAGACATTTTATTTTCTCTGGACTTTCAATAAAATGGGTTGAAAATGTGAATATGATCCGACTTCCGACACCTTAACACAAGATCAATGTGTAACGGTAACGAAAAACGGTTTTATCCTCAAAAATTTTTCTTACTTATCAAAATGAACGAACAACGCACGTGATCTCAAGACTTTGAAAAATAAAAAATGTCAGAAGTTATATTCCAAACTGAAGACAACAAAAACAACAACACAGACATTACCTCCTTATCCCTTAGAAACTCAAAGAAGCTCCGTATTCAAGAAGAAGAAGAAGAAGAAAATTTTGCACTTGTTGCCGGTCAAGAGAGCTCTTTGCAACAAAACGAGGAGGTTCTAAAAAGTGATCTTTCATTTTTGTACAGTAATTACTAATATTTCATTGGTTGAAAATGAATAATTAATGAAAATTTTGAACAACTTAGATGAAATTATAATCGAATCAAAAGATTATAATAACACACTAAAGACTGATAATGAAAATAATAATTTAACTGAATCCACAACTGACGATACTGTAGCAAACAATCAATTCTCATCAAAAAGTAGTACCGATCTATTGCAAAATAAAGCTATTGAAATATCATCGTCCTCGTCATCTAATCAACCTCCTCTTGCATCATCATCATCTTCGACTATTGCAACAACGGAAGAAACATCAACAGGAATGGAATTCAGAGTGATGATACGTAATATACCTAGATATGCCAACGTTAAACAGTTGAAAAAACACATTATTTCCGTGGGTGTTGAGAATCCTGGCAAAATTGCAAAATCTCCTAGCTGGGATTACGCGTTCCTCACCTTGAAGGTCAGACCACTTTATTATTAAAGAATTGATTGGTTGACATATTACCGGTTAATATTGAAATCAAGAAAAAAAGATGCATTTCGGAATCGTTGATTTATTAATCTATGGTTTAATACAATAGACTCAAGAAGAGCAATCATCTGCCTTGGAACTATTAAACAAATCGAAATACAAAAAGAATAAGATATTCGCATGCGTTTCAAATGTCTCACACGAGGTAAAAATTATATAAATAACTATTTAAAATTAACAAACATCTAACTTTCATATGTATGACCTCTGATGACGGATGAAACAATTGGTCGAATGCATTAAACTAAAAAAAGCTTCGAGAAGCTAAAATTAATTCTCTGATTGCTAAACGCCAAGAAGAACAAAAGAATGATACGCGTAGCCCAAAAGAACAACTTGCTGATAAAGTGACTCCATTGCACGCGTAAAGTTGAACCTCCGAATTCTTTTTGATTTTACATTTGGTTATGAAGTTAAACTAATTATCATGGTGACGATATGCCATTATAATTATTTTTCTAGTGTGCCATATAACGAGCAATTAGAGCAGAAACAGGAATCTATGAAAAAAATCCTCAAGAAATTTCGTGAAGACATGTTAGATTTACCGAAAATTGATGAGACTTCATGGGTCGTTAATAAGTACTCAAATCTTTTATTTTTACTAGAGAAAATTCATTTGCTATATTTATTTGTTTTTTCCCTAATAATGCTCAACTTGATTTGCTCCTTTTGAATTCCGTCAGAGAAGAAAACCTTCCGTGTGAACTTTTGAATATTGTTCAATCTCCAAAGATTACGGGATACCGGAATAAATGTGAATTCACGATCGGATATAATATGTCCAATGAGAAAACTATTGGGTTTCTGCTAGGCGGGTTTAGTCAAGGAATACTTAGTGTGGTGGTTAGTATCACTATGAAGTTGGATTATTTGCTTTGATCCTTCATCCGAATTGTTAATATTAATGATTTGTTATCATGATAAACGTTGTTATTGATATTAGGAGCCAAATGATTGCGTACATATAAGTTCAACAGCAAAGCGTATAGCTCAAGTGATGCAGGTTTAGGTGCCTTTATTATTCTTTACCGAAAAATAAATTCAAAGGTATGTACTAATGCTTGCTATTTCTTATGCATAGGAATACATTCGATCGTCTCATTATGATGTATATAATCGTAAAACTAAACAAGGTTTGATATGATAAATTCCATATTTAAAATATGGCGTCGTATTATTATTATTATTATTTTTTATTTACTTAAAATTCTTGAAAATAGGAAATTGGCGATTATTGACGGTTCGAACACAAGAAAATGGTCAATGTACGTGCATATTACATATAACACATTTTTTCCTATTAAACATTCGATTGATTATGCTTCTAAATATAAAAAGCTATGGTCGTCGTCTCTTTCCATACTCAATCACTCCCTGAAGAAGAAATCACAAATCAAAAACAAGATCTCATAAAATATTTTACCGGACCTGTTAAAGAACAGGGAATTAGTATTGATTCTTTGTATTTCCATAAAAATGTGGCTACGTCTGATGGATTGTCCTTTGTGGAAGAGATTGAATGTATTTGGGGAGATCAATATATTTATGAGGATATGTTGGATTGTAGGTAATAAAATATTATCATCTTATTTGAGTCTTATTCATACGTCATTTCTAGCTTTTTGTTCTTGAAGTGAATTGATTCTTTGTATTTTATATTTTTTTACACAGATTCCGTATATCTCCCAAATCCTTCTTCCAAGTAAATACAAAAGCCGCTGAATTGCTATACTCAAAATGCCAAGCATGGGCGTTGGAAGGTACAACAGACATCAATGAACAAAGCGCAACATCCCGAAAAACTACTAAATTACTGGACCTTTGTTGTGGGACTGGTACCATTGGTATTACGATGGCAAGAAAGTTTGATCAAGTGGTTGGGGTAGAGCTTGTGCCAGAGGCGATCGAAGATGCAAAGTTTAATGCAGAGTTGAACAGTAAGCAATCGTGTCATGATCACAGAGTTTATCCATTTTAGTGCGTTAACTCATTGCTCAATAATGGCTATAAATAATGATAGAAGTTCGAACTTTATTTATTTAGAAATTCAAAATGTGGAATATCATGCTGGTAAAGTCGAAGAGTCACTGAACGTATTGAATACACAGACTCACGATTCTGTTGTTGCTGTTCTTGATCCTCCAAGGTAATCGATCATTTCATGAAAGATAGATATCCATACTTTGAATGAATCACTGTTCAATATCCTTTCGCTATTATTTAAAAAAAAATTTTCGCAAACTTTTA